TAGTTAATGCGCAAAATGGGAGATGGAAACACGTTTGCCAAATAAATTCTGAGGTAGCGCATATTTACCTCACGTGATGTTCAGCTGTTTCCACTTTACTCCCATTATTTATGTGTACGGAGCCCTGCGTAGTTGCACGTGCCTTTCTGCTGCGTAGTTTAACATTGCGTTTATTTCCCTACGTCTCCTGGCAGCGTTAAACATAGCCTGTACTAGCTGAATAGATAGAATAATTACAACTTGCCCAATAGCCTCGTCTGACGTAATCATGCGTTGCGTAGCCTCGTCTGACGTAATCGCGCGTTGCGTAGCCTCGTTTATTTGCATCAAAAATTCGAGAGGGAAACTAGATGGAAACAGTCTAGATTCAAATTATTATTTATTTAATTTTTTGCGAATTTTGAAAAGTTCGATAAAAATTCACTCTACAACTGCATGGAAACAGGATTAATGATGAGAAGTGAGGTACGATGATGGAGGTTTCTGACAGTCAGACAGGTGTGCAGGTACAGACAGGTGTGCAGGTACGACAGAACAGGTAAAAATATGACAAGATGAGTTCATGAGTTTGAGGGCGTAGTGAGTGTATTTAACTGGTCTTAATGAAGACTGTTGAATAGAAGATCTTTGACGTCTGATTTAAAGGTGTACTGACTGTTCTCCAGGCTCTGGCTCCAGAACCTCTGACAGATGTTCAGGTGTGGACAACTAGAGCCAGTGGGTCAGATCTACAGGATCAGTTCTAGAGCTGAACAATTGATCACATTTGTGATAACCTCACGATATGTTAAAACGAGATTTTCTAACAACACAGGCTGTGATTTGACTGGTCACCTGACTTGGGAGTGAGCTGGGCGGAGCCTAACCGTGTTGCTAATTAGCCACATTGTTGCTAAATCTAGTGACTTTTCAGACCCTCCAGATACTTTATTCCTCAAAAAGTGTCTAGCGACACATCTGGTGACTTTTCCCAGTGTTCGTGGAGACTTTTAAAAGCTTTGACGACAGCACTTTTCTCCTTCCCTCTGCAAGCAGCGAGCGGTGCAATAAGCCCCTCCCCCTTCCTAAAGGGCTCAGACTGAAGCCTCGGTTAGGGTTGTAATCTAGTGACTTGAGTTTGATTTTTATAGAAAATAAGTTAATTAATGATGATGTTTATTCTCTCTTTGTTTTTTGCACTTTATTTTTTTCATGTTATTGGCTGGAAAGCAGTAAGCTTTATTTTTTATATTTATATATTTTTTCTATTGATTTATTCTATTGATTTATAGACTGTCCTGTGAAGTTCAGACAGTGTTTAGGAACCTTTTTTTTTGCTTTATTTTAATCTGTGCTTAAAATAAATCTTACTTTATTATAAGACAATTTATAGATAAAAAAATGCAGTTAGATTATTTTGCCAAATGGTTGGGCCCTAATCAGTTGTAGGACTTGCAGAACTCCAGGATCCGTAGAGCGACCCCAGAAGGACTGTGTGCTGTTAGAGCAGTGACCCTAAAACAGCAGCAGAGCCCTGAGCTCCAGCTGTTGGCTGAAAAACATTTTCACGTCTAATAAACAAGAGCAGAAAACATTTACTACAATAGTTTATCCATTTTACGTACACTAATCTTATTTTGTAAAATCAAAGGAAAAAGTGTTCTTATTTGTCTTTTTTTTGTGTGTAATTCAGAAAATATTTTCAGGAGCCCACCTTGATGTTTCAGGACCCCACTGTGGGTCTCGACCCCAACCAAGGTTATTATAGTTTTAGATTTTTCATTATAGTTTAGTTTTATTTTGACTTTTTTATTTTAATTCAGTTTTAATTAGTTTTTAAAGTGGATTTGTTAGTTTTTATTAGTTGTTATCATTGCTTTTTTAATGCTTAGTTTTAGTTTAGTTTTTATTGGTTCTATTTTTAGTTTTTTTATAGTTTGAACAAACATATTTGTAAATTCATCCTCAAGCCTGTCAGTTAACTAACCAGCAGCTATTTAGTCTCTAGTTCAATCAGTTCATTATAGCAACACCTTACTAAAATAATTGTGTAACTTAATTTTACCAATTAAAACCTTGGTGATTATGTAGGAGGTGAGCTTAAGGTGAATCAAGCTTCTCCCACATCTCTCATACACAAGGTTATGAGGAAACTTTTACCA